ATGGGAATATCAGACCACCTGATCTGCCTCCTCAGAAATCTGCATGCAGGTCAAGAACCAACAGTTTGAACTGGACATGGAACAACAGACTGGTTCCAAATCAGGAAAGAAGTATGTCAAGGCTGTATATTGTCACCCTGCTTATTTAACTTATATGCAGAGTACATCATGAGAAACACTCGGCTGGATGAAGCACAAGTTGGAATCAAGATTGCCGGGAGAAAAATATCAATAACCTCAGATATGCAGATGACACCACCCTTATGGCAGAAAGTGAAGAAGAACTAAAGAGCCTCTTGATGAAAGTGAAAGAGGAGAGTGAAAAAGTTGGCTTAAAGCTCAACATTCAGAAAACTAAGATCATGGCATCTGGTCCCATCACTTCATGGGAAATAGATGGGGAAACAGTGGAAACAGTGTCAGACTTTATTTTTTTGGGCTCCAAAATCACTGCAGATGGTGACTGCAGCCATGAAATTAAAAGACGCTTACTCCTTGGAAGGAAAGTTATGACCAACCTAGACAGCATATTAAAAAGCAGAGACATTACTTTGCCAACAAAGGTCCGTCTAGTCAAGGCTATGGTTTTTCCAGTGGTCATGTATGGATGTGAGAGTTGGACTGTGAAGAAAGCTGAGCGCCGAAGAATTGATGCTTTTGAACTGTGGTGTTGGAGAAGACTCTTGAGAGTCCCTTGGACTGCAAGGAGATCCAACCAGTCCGTCCTAAAGGAAATCAGTCCTGAGTGTTCATTGGAAGGACTGATGTTGAAGCTGAAACTTCAGTACCTTGGCCACCTTATGGGAAGAGCTGACTCATCTGAAAAGACCCTGATGCTGGGAAAGATTGAAGGCAGGAAGAGAAGGGGACAACAGAGGATGAGACATTTGGATGACATCACTGACTCAATGGACATGGATTTGGGTAGACTCCGGGAGTTGGTGATGGACAGGGCGGTCCGGTGTGCTATGGTTCATGGGATTGCAAAGAGTCAGACATGACAGAGCAACTGAACTGAACTGATACTATTTAAAATATAAGAAAAAGTTATGAAAAATGCTTGTGATGAAATGTGAGTAGCTGTACACAACATCTATAAATACATGAAAACTGAGAGGAAAATGAAAGTCTTCAAAGAGAACACAGAAGATGATGCCACTTAAGTAATGCTCAAAAGATATAAAAACCAAGAAGAATGTCAGGGATACATATATGGTTATCTATAATGCAAAGAAAGAAATGATAAATCCAAAATTCAAGGGATCTGAATTGAGCAGGGGGGCATGGAAGATTCAAAGTCATAGGCAACATTCTGTAGGTTAGCCTCATCAGTAAAGTGGATATTTGTGCCACTGTAGCCTTTCTAATGTTAAACATTTTATACAAATAATTTTTATAATAAGTCAAGCTATTAGTAACTTCAAATTTGGGTCTTGACTTCTTTTCTCCAGATCAGGCTGACAACAAGGAACACAGTGATCTCATCGCTCACCATAAGCTCTTCCATCTCTGTCCTCACACATGCAGTGCACGGCACAAAACATTCAGCAATTCCCAAAGCAAGTTCTCCTACCAGTTTTGTGTTTTCAAGCCCAGAAATGCAGAAAACTTACATTCCAAACAACTGATTAAATGGAATAATGAAACACACAGACTGCTTACCTGCTTTTCAGTAAACACATGCTTACTTACTCAGTCATCTGACTCTTTGCGACCCCATGGACTGCAGCCTGCCAGGCTCCTCTGTCCATGGAGATTCTCCAGGCCAGAATACTGGAGTGGGTAGCCTTTCCCTCCTCCAGGGGATCTTCCCAACCCAGGGATCAAACCCAGGTCTCTGGCATTGCTGGCAGATTCTTTACCAGCTGAGCTACCAACTTACATTTTATGAAAAAATTTCCTAAAGTGATTTTCTCAAAGTTACAGTTAATAACTTAATCAAATCTAGTTCCAAAATCTCATTACAAATCTTCTAACATAATGGTATCTTGTAAAATAGTAACAGTAAACTTCAAAATGTACACATTAACTGTGAATAACACAAAGATCAAAGAAGACTGCTGTTCCTGAGACAGAAATCTTTTTCTTAACAGCCACGTCAAACTGGGCAAATGAAGATGCATTCTATAATTTGCTACATGCAAAGATGAGTATGGACTAAAACGTATATCAATCATAATGATACTAGTGTGTACATTTTACCTTTTTACATCCATATATTTGAAAGTGCAAAGATAGTTGTTGACATAGTTATTGACTCATCTTTTAGTGGACATCCACTAAAAAGTTATACTTGAAGAAGCTGGTCTATTCTCTTATGTTCCGAAAATAAAGGAACTAGTCTTTAAGCTCAAAATTGTCCTTAAGAATATTGAATAATTAATAAAACTTCAAACAGAACTACGTGATCTTTAAATCAACTCTTCATAAAACAAAGCAAATAATTTGGTATTTAAAGCAATAGTTTACACATAATTCCCTATCCAGATAGTCAAAGGATAACATGTTTCATAATTGCTAGGCAGAGTTTCAGAGGTTGATGAATGGCTCTAAAATATTACCTATCAGGGATGGGGGTCCAGGGCGGGGCAGGGTTGCTCCTAATTTTTCCTTGATTTTTGATTTAAATAAATCTTGATCCCAAACCATCATTAATCAGTTCACTTGCTTCCTTTTCAATTGTATTTAAGGGCATAAAAAATTTAACTCTGACTTTCTCAGTAATACTACAGATCTAATAATAATCTCAAAAGCTTACAAAAAGTTGGAATTCCTTCTCTCTTGAAATTTAATCACATAATGTATTAAAAAGAAAATATGAAAAATTGACTTTATCAGCTAACTGCATTGTAACTAACCACAAAGTCCAAAGATTTGATCAGAGAAATAGATTCAAGTTTTACATGTTCAGCTAAGTTTTTCCTCTAACTGGAGCACTGGGCAGAGAAATGTTCTTGAGTATCTCAGTTTTCTTTCTATATAAAGCACCATGATTTCAGAAAAATTTCTCTAATAATATGGTTTTCTATTCTTTCCAATCAAAAATACTATAGGAAACAAATACTTGTGACTTCCTGATAATATATTCTAAAACTGGCCACTGTCGAGGAAATAATTCCACAAATTTTTATTTTTGAAACAAGATTCAAATGAAACATACAGCATCCTCTCCCAGTGCCTTTAAGTAGAATCACAGGAAATGCTAAATCTATTTTAATTTGCTTGAATTCACACAGACAGTCCTCTCACAGCTTTTTTCACTAACATGTTTAAATATTCAAAATAAGAAGAAGATGAGGTAACGGGAGAGTCTACTTCTAATTATATGAAATTCCACGATTATCTCCAGTGTCAGGTGGCTGCCATATAAACTGAAAATGAGTATAGCTCCTCAGTCGACCCCAACATACCCTCTTCCTACATTTAGACTCTACAGGAACAGGGCCTGGACCTCGTCTGCTGTTTATTCAAGCCACATATCTAAGACGGTGCTTAGAAAACAGCAGGTGCTCATCCACAGTGTTTAAATGACATTTAGCAGTGCAGATAAAAACGGAAACTAGAACTCTTCATGTATGACTACACCTGTCAAATAAATATTAAGACATATGAAGTCCCTGGTCTCATGCCCACCATAAATTTACACCCTGGCTGCTGCTGCTGCTAAGTCACTTCAGTTGTGTCCAACCCTGCGAGACCCCACAGACGGCAGCCCACCAGGCTCCTCTGTCCATAGGATTCTTCAGGCAAGAATACTGGAGTGGGTTGCCATTTCCTTCTCCTTACACACCAGAGAACAGACTAAAATGGTAAAATACGGAAAAACAAAGATAAAGTTGAAATAATAGAGATTCTTTGCTCACTCTTCATACTCCTTAGTTAAACCTCACTCTAATGTCTCTCAGCAGGTAGGGTCTTTTTATTTTAAAAATTATACTGTCAAGGATTTTTCTCTTACTGTAGCCAAAATTAAGAAATATCCAGAATATCAGAATATCAAAAAAATTCTTTTACAGATCATTAACTTCCAGCCATAGTCAGTCATTCTGGCCCTTTGTCTATATTTTATACACACATACACATATACATATATATGCATATAAAGAGAAAACTAGAATATATTTATATATATATNGCCATAGTCAGTCATTCTGGCCCTTTGTCTATATTTTATACACACATACACATATACATATATATGCATATAAAGAGAAAACTAGAATATATTTATATATATATATATATATTTACATAGAAATAATCATTCATTTATCATACAAATAAGAAATCAAAACTAATCTACCTTAGACTCTTACAGCTTGGAAATTCTATGACTGCTCATTTTATAACCACCCCTATTTAAAAGTTTTCAAGACTATGCTAGGCTAAAAAGTCTAAAAATGGTTTATCAAGGCACTGTAGTATGGCTAGATACAGGGCACCTAATGAAATCTGGATTTCTGAAAAAATAACAAATAATTTCTTACTGTAAGTATGTCTGAAGTCCAGATTTTTCTAGGCATGCTATATTTTTATTTGCTAAACCTGACAACACTAACCTATGGGCTCCTATAAAAGATACCCCTTCCAATAAAAGAAAAAAACAAATTATTGGCATTTCTTGCTACGTCAAACAGGAATAAGCCAGTATATATACAATGCCAAAATTCAGAGTGACACTCAGCCACATTAAATCAATAGTTTCTGATCATGATTAATTCTCTTTTGAAAAACAGCTTAAGTTTTTAAAAATTCTGAGAAAAAAAAAGCATGATTTTTTAAAAAGTACACAAGCTATATATTACTCAGTAATAAATACAAAAAGTATATTGAGACTATATTTCCACATGCATATAAATATTATGTATTCAACTGTTACCTTGAGAAGTTGTTGAGGTAGACCAGCTATTTATTCACAGGCACCATGAAGTATAAAAGTGACAGATCATAGCATCTGTTTAATTCAGTAACATGCCCTCATGTTCAGACAGACGAATTACCTCACAGGGTTACTTGTCAAAGACACGCGGAGGGACTCCAGGTACGTGAAGAGTCTCTCATCCGCAGACCCCATCTTCAGTTCATAGATGAATTCCTCAGGTGAGATCTGTCGATTACTCTTAAGACTTCCCTGAAAAATAAGTTAAAAAAACTGAATTCATGCTGTGTGAAGATTATTAAAATAGTTACAAGTGCATTAATCCCACCTTTCACATTAACAGCAATACACAGTTACTCATAGTATTATTGAGAGAATGATTTCCTTACTTCTGCCCATAAATCTATAAATTCATAATCCATGGTATCCATGAAACACAGCAATACATCATCAACGGGTTTTCAAATTATAAAATAATTGCCTTGTCAAATCCAGACTATCACGTAAAACAAAGGAAATATCCAAAAATATACCAATGTGCTTTAGGAACATGCAAAATAAAACCAAACCTCAATATAAGAATAACTCCATTAAAATAAATATTCTAAGCAATACAAAAAAAGCTATAAATTATTAAGCATCTAGTTCGAGGCATTACAGACACAGAGATTATCAAAACCTAAGTCTGGAAGGAGAAACCCAAGCCAAAAAGCAGTACTATTCAACGCAGTCTAATTCCTCCAGCACTAACTCGGGTCTCACTGTGCAACCCCATGGACTGTAGGCTACCAGTCTCCTCTGCCCATGGATTTCTCCAGGCAAGCACACTGGAGTGGGCAGCCATTCCCTTCTCCAGGGGCATCTTCCCGAGCCACGAAGCAAACCTGGATCTCCCGCACTGCAGGCAGATTCTTTGCCATCTGAGCCGCCAGGGAAGCCCCTGATGTCTCTAACAGGACACCAAACGCTCAAAGGAGAGGAGCCAGCTTGGCAGAGGGCTAAGGGGAGAAGCAAGGGGAGGGGAAGAAGAGCCAAGGAGGCAGGCTGAGTCAAGGGTACTTTCAGACGAAAACATAACACATGAGCACGCCCCCAAAATATACGAGAGCACACACAATTGATTGCAAATGAGAGGCAGGCCCTCGAGCAGGGGGCACCCCTCCACGAACAGCTTGTCACACCAGCAGCAGCACGCAACACAGGGGAGAGGGGCTGGCGCTCACGCATCACTCCACACACGTCAGGTCCAGTCAGCGCCAGTCAAGGTCCTACGTGCTGAGAAAGGACCCGTGAACAAGAGCCAAAAACCGCTGCCCGCACAGAACTCCACTCTCCACAAGCAAGGGTGAAGACAGACCGACAACAACTGACAAGTGATCAAAACACATTCAACTGTACGTAGTGCTAAGTGCTATAGAGAAAAACAAGCAATGGGAGGAATAAGCAGCATAGCAAGTGCGGTGAACTTCAAACAGGGTGGCCAAAGAAAGTCTCCTAGGGAAGACTCTGAAGGACTCAAACTTGAATGTTAGAATCAAAGTCTGAAGGGTGTGAGAGCTTGAACCTTGCAGAAGTCTGGAAAAAGAACTGTGATAGAGAGGACAGTAGGCTTTACAGGCCACCAATGAGCCTGGACTTCCACTCTGCGATCAGAGGCATCAGAAGCAGAAAGACTGTTGAACAGGTATGTGTGTGGTCCACATGGACCGCATGAGAACGTCCATCTACCAGATGGACGTCCAAGACGAGGATGTCCAGCTAACAGTAAACCTCAGAATTCTATTTAAATTACAGATTATAAAGCCAAGGGGAAGGAAAGGATCTGTACCTGTCCAAAAGTAGATCAGTTGGGATGGTAGGAAATTTGATGTATTTTTCCCATTTCTTTTTCATTTTTTTCTACACTGTTGCACAAGGAGACATTCCCAATAAAGCAAAGCAAGTTAGCCCTGGGAAACAGGTGATTTTCATAATCAGCAAGTCCTAATTTACTAAAGAAAATCTCAGGGCAAAATCTCAAAGAACAAAATGATAAAATAAAAATGACAGGAAAAATGAAATGGTGAGAAAACTGAAAATATCAGATTTTTTAATTAGTGACTATGCTATCTCTCATTAAAAAGATGGTAGAATCAAAATAAACCAAAACTGAATAGATGAACTGTTTCCTTCAACAATATTTGGGTAAACCCCAGTATTTAAAGTAAATACTTCGACAATATAAGAATAACAAGCAATAAGTGCATTTGGATTAAAAGTGATGTAAAGCTATTTTAAAAATAAATAAAAAGCCACCTGCCCACCTCTTTAGCCCTATCTCACTTAAAAGACAGCCACTTTTAAGTCCCTGAACAGTTTCTTCTGAGAGCTACTCAATATATGTAAATGATGTGCTTATTCTGATATATTTAAACTTGTAACCTTTCAATATTGCCTTGGACTTCTGTTATAAAATATATAAAACATAAAGACTTATAAAAACATTAGAAATTCTACTCTCCCTCCCTCTAGCTACATTATAAGTAAATTAAATTGACCCAAATGATGACAATCCATGAAATGAGAGCTAGCTGAATTCACATTCCATGGGATCCTCACCGCAAAGTTCCTAGAGAGATGAGTGCAGGCATCCAAAAACCTTAACAATGCTTTAATTTGCTTTAGTGACACAGAATAGGGCAGTCAATGAACAGAATGCCTCCATTCATAAAGTATTCCAGCTACTATAATTTCCATGTTAGCCAAATCAACATGTTGGCTGCCCCTGAAATTGGGAATATGAGAAGCAATGTTGGCTCCCATCATTCCTATCCAGGAATAAAGTAAGGTCAATAATAACAACAGCATACACACAGATTAGAAAGGAAGAAGTAGATCTCTCTATAACCAAACAAGATTATCTATAGGAATTTACCAAGGTCACAGAATAAAACTCAACATAGAAAAATAATTCTTATTTCTAAATACTACCAGCAATTGGAAAACAAAACTTTTAAATAAACGATTTCTAGTAGCATCAAAAAATACAAAATCATTAACAAAAATTTTAACAAAAGAAGGAAAATATCTATACATTAAAAACTGTAACACTGTGGAGACAAGATGACCAAATAAATAAAAATGTTATACCATGTTCATAGATCAATCTCAAGAAATCCATTAAGAAAAACAGCTTTTGAAAAATAATCTACAAAGTCAATATAATAACTATCAACATGCCAGCAAGCTTTTTTGAAGAAATTGAGAAGCAGTTTCTAAAATTAATATGGAAATGCAGGGAATCTACAGCAGAATAATTTAAAAAAAAATAAAGTTGGGGACTTATTTCATCTGATTTCAATATTTACTGAAACGCTACAGTAGTCAAAGTAGAATTAATAGAACATTAATGGAACAGAACAAAGTATAGACATATACTTGAATCTATGTAATGAATGACTCTCAACAAAGATCTCAACGTAATTCAATCAAGTATTTTAACAATCTTTTTAATAATCGGTGCTGGAATAACTGAACATCCATATGAAAGAATGTGAACCTAAAAAAGCTAAAATTATAAAATGTCTAGAAGAAAACATAGTGAAAACCTTCACTTTCCTGAGGAAACCAAAGATTCCTTAGGATACAAAAGGCACTAACTATAAAACTGGATTTCATCAAAATGTAAATGTTCCACTTCTCAAAAGACTCTTTTATTAAGACAGTGTCCTTAAAATGAAAAGTAAGTCACAGACTGAGAAGACACTGCAATACATGTCAAGAACTATGCAGAGTCTCATATTCTACTCTATATACAAACTAAATTAGCCTGCTGCTGCTTCCTGAGTACCGAGGGAAAACTTAAGGCTCCTGAGTTAGACACAAAAGGACTCTATCACACATGTGGGTTCCCCAACCCAAAAGAAAGCCCAAACGTATGATGATGGATGTCTACACATGTAATGGATCATGTTCAATATTACAAGAACCCTGAGCTGAGGGTAATCACCACTTTTATAGTGAATAGTAACAAGACCATTAATCATCCACAGAGATATAAGCTCATCTCTAAGGTTGTGAAAGTGAAAGTTGCTCAGGCCGACTCTTTGAGACCCCATGGATTATACAGTCCATGGAATTCTCCAGGCCAGAATACTGAAGTGGGTAGACTTTCCCTTCTCCAGGGGATCTTCCCAACCCAGAGATCAAATCCAGGTTTCCCACATTGCAGGCGGAGTCTTTACCTGATGAGCCACAAGGGAAGCCCTCTCTAACGTGATCTCTGAGGTTGATTCACTGTGAACACAATCCTGAAAAATGATCTGGATAAACAACCCTCAGGCCTTGCATGCTGGCATAACCAAAAAGAATATACAGGAGTATCTACAGTCCACGGAAGACTTCATCTCCTAATATAAATATATCTCATAAAAGATTTCTATTCAGACCATTTAACAAACTCCTACAACTCAATCGTAATAAGAAAAACAGACCAATTAAAAACATGAATAAAAGACTTCACAAGAGAAGACATATGAATGGACAATAAGCACAAGAAATGATATTCAGGATCATTTGTAATCAGGGAATTGTAAAACAAAACCAGAAACAAAATAATACTACACACACACACACACACACACCCCAGAACGGTGAGGGTGTGAAGCACCTGGAACCCTCCCACACAACTAGTAGGGGCGTGAAATGGCCAGAGCACTTTACAAAACAGATAGAGATTTCTTTTAAAGTTAAATACATACCAACTCAGCAAGTAGACAGCGAGGCGTTAAGCAGGAGGGGAAAAAATTCCCTATGACATTCAGAACAGCTTTATTCATAAAAGCCAAAGACTGGGAACAATGCAAATATTCATCAGCAAGGTGCTGTAGAGCCATACAGTGGAGTGTGTGCACGCGTGCTCAGTCGTGTCCGACTCTGCCACCCGTAGACTGCAGCCCACCAGGCTCCTCTGTGCATGGGATTCCCCAGGCAAGAATACTGGAGTGGGTTGCCATGCCCTTCTCCAGGGGATCTTCTTGACCGCAGGATTGAACCCGCATCTCCTGCACTGAGGCAGATGTCTACCCACTGAGCCACCTGGGAAGCCCAAACAATGGAATACTATGAAACAACAAAAAAAGTTCACTACATAGTGCAACAAGACAGATGAATCCAAAAACTATGCTGAGTTAAAGAAGTCAAACAAGCAAACAAACAAATAGAATATAGTGTATGGTTCCCTTGTTGGAAAGACCAAGAGCAACCTGTCAGTG